GTATAATATTGTATGTCAACTATAATTGAATATTTTTTCAATTGAATAATTGAATATAATTGAATATATATATATATATATATATATATATATATATCGTCATGGGATGTGGAGTATAGTGTGGGAGTGGAGTCAAGGGAATTGTAATAGATATGTATGATATAGGGGGGAGTGGGGTGGTGAATTGGGGGAGGAGGGTTGTCACTTTAAGAGGTAAAAAATATAACTAGTGCACTATGTTGTACAGCTGAAATTAATTTTAAAAATTATTTCACAATAAAAAAAATAATATTATGACTTTGCTGGTGAAAAAAAAAAAGAGGGAAGTCTGACACTAGTGATGACATGAATGAATCTTGAGGCCACTGGGCAGGGGAAAGAATCCAGTCACAGAAGGACAAATACTGTATGGCTTCATGCATACGTGGGTCCTAGCGTGGTCAGACTCACAGAGACAGGAAGTAGGGTAGTGGGCGCCAGGGGCTGCGGGAGGGCGGTGGGAAGTGAGTTTCAATTGGGGAAGATGAAAAAGTTCTGTAGGCGGATGGTGGTGATGGTTACACAGCAGTGTGACTGTACTTAATGCCACTTGGACTGGACACTTAAAAACAGTTAAGGTGGTACATTTTAAGTTATGTATATTTTTAAACACAGGCAAACAAAGAGTGGGCAATTGGAAAGATGATTGTCACGACTATGAGTGGGGACAGACAGGCACTGGTTAAGAGAGAGTGCTTTCTGCATTTATTTGTCTGTGACGCAGTCCTGATGCTGTGGACAGAGGGGGGTTATAAGATCGTCATTGTGACTTGGATCCTGGTCCCAGAGGTGTTCAAAGGTGATAAAATGTATCTCAGAATCAAAGAAATCTGATCTCTACGTTTTTATTGGTGGGTATGTGTTCTTTTAGTAAAATGTTTCCACTGTGCACCAAAATGAATGTATTGTACATGTAGAATTACTCAAATCTCACATTACAGCCTGTAGCGGGTGGGTCCACCTAAGGGTGGGGTCTGGGCAGATGGCAGCGGAGGAGGCGCTGCTGCACTGTAGTGTTTGTTCATTATGCGAACATGAACCCCAGATGCTCACAAGCAGCATTTGCTCTTACGGTAAGGATGCCCCTCACTACCGCCACAATGTCCTGTGTCACTGCTGTGCAAACTCAAGCACAGCTTGGCGGCAAGGCCGGGTTTCTCGTGCTGTGGACGTTATGTCACCCATGGTACTATTTTATCCCAGGGTTTAATCGCTGGTAATCATTCTTTACAAGAGATTGCCAACCCAGCTGCATGTTTCCTCAAGTCTGGACTCGGGGTGGCTCCTGACCTCCGAGTGCGCCTGCACCGCCGTCCTTCCTGACCTGTGTGGGCTGCAGCACTCTGTTCTTGTGTCGTTGCAGCAACCAGTTAACCTGGAGGGACGTCCAGCACCTGCTGGTGAAGACATCCAGGCCGGCCCACCTGAAAGCGAATGACTGGAAGGTCAACGGTGCAGGTCTTAAAGGTGAGGGGCCTCCTGGTGGGCAGGGCAGGACCGGTCATACTGCCAGTGGGCCAGGCAGGACCGGCAAGACCGGTCACCCCTGCTGGTGGGACCTCAGGGTAGCCCCTGGAATCTCTGGCAAGGGGTGACATGAATGTCTCAAAAAGAATCCCCAAATAACATTAATTGTGTGTCATAAGAACAAAAAGTAGGTATACAGTGATTTAAGAAAAGTCCCCTGGAACCTCACACTGGCGTTAAGGAAGAAACCTAAGGTCACTAGACTTCAGGGTTCCGTCTTCATGACTTTTGCCACACCCCGGGAACACCTGTACCGGAACTGACAGGAACTGACTTAATGGCTTTCTTTAAATTGACTTGCCTTTTTTTTTTTTTCCACATAAAGAAATATATTTTAAAGGAAACTTGATTACATCTAGCTAATCGTGGGTTTGATGTGTAGTTATATTTTCTCTAATGGACATTAAAATAATTATTACCTTAATTACCATGATAAAACAATGTTTGCGTGCCACCTAACAGCAACTTGCAATCTTAGCCCTGAGTGGCTCTATGATTTTGAAAGTAGCTCCCAGTTTCCTCGTCTATACAATGAGGACATTGACATAGTTACATAAGTTACTTTCTAACTACAAAACTTCTGTGGGCAAGCTCCCCTGTTATAAAAGTAACACATGGAACCACGAGGTCTCTACCCCCAGCACAGCCTGGTACCATGAAATCAACCCACGGTCAGAGCTTGTAACCCAGATAATTACAGGACTGTGCCACTGGCTTTGTGTGTCTGGCGTCTTACCAGAGATACTTGAAAAAGATTTACATTCAGCATGGCATGTGAGGGAGGATGTTTGTTTTCCTTTTCTGAAGCTCAGTCCAACTATTTCAACACGGAGCCTGATAATACCATCTATAAAATATAGGTCAAGCATTGTTACCTAAAATTCCAAGGGACATTCCTTTTAATAAGGAGGCCATTGATCAGGCCTGATGTGGTCTTTGTTTTGCAGGAATGTTGGGGGTAGCCATGTGCTGTAACGAGAGCTGACCTACATTTCCATTTTGGCCTAATTAAATAGGAAAATAGATTCTATCTAGTTTTCGACCTTGCCTCTTAAGTTAAACTTTGAAACTCTCCAGCTTTGGCCAAATTCACCATTGGAGAGGGCCAGTTCACGAGTACTCACGGCCTGTGCCACTGTCACTGAATGCCCTGGAATTCACTAGCAGAGGAAGGGGGCAACTTGGGCAAACTAAGGGGTCTCGGACTTTTCCCCTCTGGCTTCTGATTCAGGGAACACAGGTGCTGACCTGTCCCTCTCGTGTAAGGAAAGATGTCCTCATGTCACATCACAAGGAGAAAGCTCTAGGCCTCTACTGTGTACCAAAATGAGAATTGTTTCCGGGCCTGCAGTCCTGACCTGGAGGAGTGGGGTTCGGAGCGAGTAGAGCAGCTGGGACCTTGGAGCAGTTCTCAGAGGGCTGGGCCTGCAGTCTGTGGCTCTCGGGGCCGGTTCTGGGACCTTCCCACCCTGACCTGAGTGAAACAGACAGTTGGTCCCAGGACCGTGGCGGTCACGGATCCGGTGCCCCGTGGGGGGAGACATGCTGAGTGCGGGATCTGGGTTTCGCTCCATTCCTGGGAGGGGAGGGGCGGAGCACGGTCTGAAGACCCTGTTATTTCAGTTAGCCATCTCTATGGATTTGGCCTGGTGGACGCAGAAGCCCTCGTCATGGAGGCCAAGAAGTGGACAGCAGTGCCCTCGCAGCACATGTGTGTCGCCGTCGCAGACAAGAGGCCCAGGTAAGGCTCGCCTCCAGCACCGCTCGGAGTTTCGGGCACGTGGGTTTGGGCCTGACTCTGCTGTGAGGTATTTTGGGGTGGGTGTTCACATACACATTCCTGTGCACGTCGGTGGGGACACACACATGTGTGCGTGCATGGTAGCGTGTGTGTGCATGTGTCTGCAGCCCCTCCCCTGGATGGATTGTGACGCTGGAGAAAGCATCGCTTCTTAACCCATGACCCCACTGAGGCCTTTTGCTGCCAATTGGGGTTTCCCTTCTGCACGGATCGTTCCATTACAGGGAGTCTGTCCCTCAGCCTAAACCCTCAGGCTCCTACTGGAAATTCTGACCCATAACATTCGGCCCCGCTGACGGGCCTGGCAATGTGCTCTGGAAGGAGGATGAACAGCAAGGAGTGTGCTCGGTCGTCACCCACTAGAGTTTGCAGCCGTAGCCCCAGCCCCACCTGCTCTGAGCTCCCAGTATGACTCCATCATCCAGGAACAGGGGTGGCAGCCTCTGTCCCTTCTTGGTGGCAGGAGGGAGTTATTGTCTAAAGTGCAGGGCAGCTCTGTGTCACTTTCATCTGGACTCTGACGGCCTTCCGAAGGTGTCAGCACTGGGACTTTTTAACAAGCCTTGGGCAGGGTGCTATGCGACCCTGGCTGCTCCTTTCTTCCATGGTCAGGACACGCTCCAACTCACCCTTTGTAGTAAGTTTTTCTAAACCAGTTGAATTTGTTCAATGAAGTTTTTGTTTTAAAAATCAGCTGTAAAGTAAATCAGATAGCAGGGACCCTACTCCATTAGGAGAGGAAATTAAATGAGTCTCCTGAACTCTGCCTTTGCAGCTGTCCTTTTTAAGGAGAATGGTGTTTCTCGAGGCCTTAATATCTGATAAAGAATGGAATGCATTTTTTTTCCCAACTGTAACTGTTTATACCTTCGGGAAATGTATATTTGGAAAAAGAAATGAGGGGGTGATTAAGAGTGACCCTTGCTTTATCCACAGACGTAGACCACTTTGTTTTGAGATGGCTTCTGCCTGGAATGCACTTACCTCTTAATATACTCTTTTGCTAGAAAATGTTGAGGAAAGTGTTTCTGGCATGCGGTAGGAATTCAGGAAGCATTTGCTGGGTGAATAGCCACAGAAGGATCTTTTCAAAAATGTCGCTTCCATCCTGCTGCTAATTGTGAGGGCTGACTGCAGGGTGAATCCTCTACGGCCTGACAGGCTGGTCACCCAGCAGACAGTCTTAAGATTTTCAAGCATCATTGTCTTGGGGGAGCCTTGGACTGTCAACTCCACCAGAAAGCGAGAGGCTCTCTGAGATAAACAAGGCCTTTTGCTTTCTTTTGTCTTGTTGGTTGGGAAATGCCTAGACCATGGAGAATCTGGTTTAGGTGAAGTGGTGCTGGCCTCCCGGGAGCTGGGCCGCCCCCAAGGCCACCTGACCGGCCGAGGTGCCCGTATCCAGGCCCACACCTCTGCCCTCCCACTGGTCTCCCCGCAGGGCAGCCCCTGAATGAAGCATTCTTCTCCTGCCAGAAATAGTTTTAAGATGGCAGAGTGGTGCCTAGGTGGCGAGGGGTTGTTTTTATTTTTATTTTATTTTGTTTTTTAAGTGAAAGCACACTGAGTCTAGACAGCACAAGTTGAAGGGACCAGCCGTAACACACAGTGTGACATTGTTCCTGTCCTTTGAGGAAAGAAAGGGCCCGCAAATGCCAACAGAGGCAAAGAATCAAACTTCTGTTTGTAAAGGAAAATCATCTTTACGTTCAGCAGTTCCAGACTGTTTTCTGGGATAGTCAGCCAGTGTGCCCTCCCGAGCCACTTGCTTAACTGCATACTTGGTTGTTCCCAAGGACATAGGGACAGAGAGGGAGGGGGCGGGGGGGGGGGGGGAAGCATTNGTTCCCAAGGACATAGGGACAGAGAGGGGAGGGGCGGGGGGGGGGAGGGAAGCATTACTGTGTGGAAAGTGGAAACCTCATTTCTACCTTTGGTCTTTATCTCCTGGCAGAGGGCTCCGGCCTGCCTGTCAGGGTCTTTTGAAACAGGGCTGCCAAGCACCCCCAATTATTACGGCCGACTTCCTTCCCCGGGGTCCTCTCTACCTTTGCCTAAGCTGCTGGGGTCATGTGGCTTAAAATGAAAGGGCAGTGTTCTCACGTACCTCTGTCCCCTCTCCTCACTGCTCCCGCTCTACGGATGTTTCTTGGTCCAGCTGCCCACTCTCTTGGCCTCATTCTGGTTTCTCCTTCTCATGGTGGAATCCTAGGACTCTCGAAGTGTCCCAAAGCTGGCCTCAGCTGCTTCCTGTAGAGAAGAGCATAAAGTGAGAGGAAGGGAGGGAGAGAGGGAGGGCCGGGCGCCGCCTCTCTGTCTGGTGTGACCGATGAAGGTCAGAAAGCTGTTCGTTGAGCACTAAGTGCGGGGATCGTGACCACGTCTGCCATTTCTACAGTGATGTCGTGGGAGGTTCTGAGTTAGAGGGTCTGGGTGTTGATGGTCAGATGCTGGGGCAGGAATGAAGGGCAGTGGCCCCTCCTTGTGTCCCCCACCACCACCACCACCACTCCACTCCGATCTGGCCGCCTTCTCCTGGGATCTATCATGGTTTCAGGAGATAGTCTTCATGGCCAGTTCAGCAGAGGTCCATGGGCCCCTGTCTCTGCAGATTCTGCCTGTGGCCCCAGGCTGTGCTCAGACCCTGGTACCACATCACTGTGCCCAAATGACCACTCAGGTGCCTGTTTGTGACCCTCTGTTGAACGGCCCTGTTTTCTGTCCAATGCCAAGCTGACCTGCCCTCTCAGGCCAACACGAGCAGAAAAGTCTGCAGCACAGCACAAGAAAGGCTTCCATGGAGGGAGGCGGGACTTCCATGGAGGGAGGCGGGGCTTCCATGGAGGGAGGCGGGGCTACCGTTCCAGACACACAAGAAGCAGCCCCACAGGAGGAAATGCTACTGTTACTCTTTAATTTGAAGGAAGGCCATGCAGGGGACCCCAGTATACACGTCAGCATCTCTAGCCTGGATACCGCACATCTAGGAGTATGGGGTTTGGGAATTCACCTGCAGCAGGTTAGCTAGGCTAGCAGGCAAGGCCATGTGGCCACCACGTCCCAGTGGAGTTCCTGTGTGGCTAGGACCCCCATCAGCCTGACTCCAGGACCCTGCTGAGGTTCATATCCGCTTAGGAAGCTGAAAGCCCCTCTCTGCTTTGGGCTCTCTGGACGGTGCAGGTTCTCCCCACTCCCCCAGTCCCTCTCCACCCCCACCCCATCCAGCACTGAACTTCAGAACACTCCTGGTACTGTATGAGGCCCTTGCTTCCGGTTTCTTCTATCGTGTCCTTCTATGGGGCATGGCTGGGTGTGGAAAGAAAACTCATGGGGTGCTCTGCTGTCGGCCCAGGGGGGTCACCATACCTCGGCCCACGACATTTGTCCGGCCTCTTGATATCCCTTGGAACTCTGGGGAACTGTAGTAAGCTGCCTGTCCTCCTGAAGCCTGGCCTTTCTAGCTTATTCTTTGGTGCTAACCTGCTTTCCCCAAACTGTGACTGCTGCTTACTTCTAAAATCCATATTTGGATCTGAACAATCCACCCGACTCTCATTATTCGCAGTAGGTTTCTGGGCTATGAAGTCAGCGTAGACACTGATCTCAGAAACACAGAACCATCGCTTCTAAGAGAAATACGGAGTTTGTCAGGTTCCTGGGACCCTCTGGATACGTGTTCGTCCACTGACCAACACGGAACCTTGTTTATATGTGTTTTTGTTTAAAGACGCCCTGTTTGTTATATATTGCTGACTCACTAACATTGAACTCACAGCCGACAGCCCTGTCACTCATGCCTGAGTGGAGCTTATCTGGTGCACAGATTTTCTCCTTAAGGCACGTCACAGCCTGTTGGCATGTAGGAATACCACGCAGCCCTTCAGCGCTGGGCTTGGGGGCGAAACCGCCACCAACAAGCACAAATGTGGCCCTAAATAGAGCACAAAGAGACACGTGTTTACAATATGAGGATGGAAACAGGAAGGCAAGGTCACCTGTTCCACTTCAGCTGGGAACACGGATCTCAGGCAGCTCAAATGTGCTGCTGCCCTGTGTTCATCCCCAAATGACCACAAACACCCTGTAAGGATTGATTTGGGGTTCCAAATCCATGTTAGCAAGTTGGTGAATTTGAAAATACGAATCGTGAATAATGAGCATCGACTGTATGTTTCCTTATCTTCTTTACTCCCCATCAAATTGAATCATAGAGCTGGAAGGAATGTTTAAAGCCCTCTCGTTTCATGTAGAAGAAAAATAGATGCTATGAATTTAAACACTGCATGTTAAAACACCTTATAGCCTAATCGCGGACAGCATTGTCTAAATTAATGTACTGGATTAGCCACTTTTTTATTTTAATTACATTTTATTTCCAGCCTAAATGATGGGCCATGGTTTGATAATCAAAAGTAATTTCATCTAAGGAAAATTCTAAATGTGAACGAATATGAATAAGACAGTACACACATCTATTTCACTCCAACTCTCACGACCAGCCCATCAAGAATGTTGGCCCTAGAACGTAGATCTAAGATGTGACCCCAAAGCTTTTTGCTGTCCCCACACAGATGGCTCTGGTCCAACAGACCGCGATGCCTTCCTACACTTTAATCTAACGATCCTGTCCCAGCGGACCCCTCTCCACTCCACTCAGTACCTTTAGAAGGTCTGTGAAAGGATTTCCTGGTTGACCTTCCATTGTCCTTGGCTCTGCAGCAGCCTCCCTGCCTCTCCAAACCCTCCCACCCCGGCCTCCCAGACAGATGCCAAGTACACTAGAGGGAAGGGCGTTGCTGCCCTCTAATTCCGGGGGACCCCCTCAACGTGACCTCAGAATTGTCTAATGAGGAACTGGGCCTGACCCACTCTTGCCTCCAGCCCTGCAGCATGGTAAGGTGGCATTGCTCTGGAGTGCTCTGTGCCCGGCCACAGGTGTGCCCTCACAGCTGAGCTGGAGAGAGGTCTGTATGGTGGGAGAGAGAAACGCAGTCCTTCCTCAGTGTCCGAGGGGGATTGGCTCCAGGACCCCCACCCCGAGGATACCAAAATCCACAGACACTCAAGTCCTGTGCATAAAACGGCGTAGTATTTGCTTATAACCTCTGTGCATCCTCCCGTTTCCTTTCAATCACCCCCAGATTACTTATAACACCTAATACAACGTAAGTGCTGTGTAAATAGGTGTTATACTGTATTGTTTAGGGAATAATGACAAGGAAAAAGTCTGTACATGTTCAGTACAGATCCAACCTTAGTGGACCTAATTACATAGTATGTGTTAGCAGCAAACAATGTAACATTATTTTATTATTATTCAGATATTTTCGATTCTGGATGGGGAACCCATGAATACAGAGGGCAGACTGCTCTGACTGGCAGTAGCTTCCTGCTAGGGCAGAAAGACAAGTGGAGAGGTGGAGGGTTTCAGCTGGTGGCCTTGATCATGCTATTGGGCTCAGGAAATGTATAATATTAGGAATTTGAAAGTGTAGGTTTATTCCTGAGACGCTAACTTAGTGAACCTTCCCAGGGAGGTTCACCGCCCCCCACCAAGACACCCACATTGCCTGCTTAGCGCAGGGGGCTAGGAATTCTTCATCTGGAGGTATCTGTGGGTCCCAGCAGGACTGAACACTCCAGAACTCTCTAGAGTTTTCTGTTCTGCTCTGCATCTGTGCAGGGGTCGGCGGGGAGAGGAGGGGCTGCTGACCAGTAAACGACAGCCGGTAAAATTTGGGAGCAGGCAATGAAAGAAGTCAGCATCTCTAAATCAATTTCTGTTGCATGCAAATCATGTTTTCAAATATTTACAGTCTCCGAGGGAATTACATCACTGTTTGTAACTGTTTTGACTGTTCTTTATGACTCAGGCCCAGTAGAGAGCCAAGCAATGTAATTCCTGGGAGGCTCTGAGTGTCTGCTTCCAGCCTCCCCTCCCGAGAGGAAAGTCGGGGATAACGGGACAAGCACTCCCCACAATAAACTGGGCGCTGGCCAGGCAGTGGGGATTTACTCATGTGCTACTGGGCGGCTTCAGTTTATAAGTCCTCGAGGCCAGCGGTGGTGGTGGCCCAGAATAGGCGGGACGGCTGGATGCGGTCACAGCCTCCAGGTGCAGGCTGGGTCTGCTTCCTCAGGGGAGTGAGCTAGAACATTCTGGTGGAACTGACTTGTGAACGATTGGGGCCTGGTGCCTGTCCTCAGATTCCATACCATATGGTGAAACTGCCGTGAAGTCATAAAGAGAACCATCGTCCATTCCCATCACAGGGCAGAAGACGGAGGGGACCCTAGTCTTCCTGCGGGGCAGTCGGGAGCAGACCAGGGCCTGTCCATCCTCTGTGACTCTGGTCTAGTCAACTACGGCCTTGACCAGTGCGTTCAGCACAAGAGGCCAGTTCTGGCCCTTGTCTGTCTGCTCTTTCCCCGGTGTCTTGAGCACAAGTGCGGGCTCACATGAGCATCTTTGCAGGGCAGTGAGGCACAAAGGTGTGGGCATGGACTCTGCAGTCTCAAATCCCACCTCTGCTTCTCTGTAGCTGTGTGACCTTGGGCACAATCCCTGCCCTCTCTGGGTCAAATCAATTAATCCTTGTGAATTCTCAGAGCAGTGCCCAGTGTCCTGTGCCTGGCATGTGGTCAGCTCAGGAAATGTTTGATGTTGTTATTATTCAGCATTGTGACTTAACGTTTTCAAGGCCAATCTTTGAAACAAAGTAGCGAGGCTTCAAAGCCTTGCGGCCCCCCAGGAAATGAGCTGCCCAGAGGCACCAAACCACATCCTGGCCACCAAGGGGGCTGATCAATCACTGGGTATGTTAGCTGCGTCTGCACGACAAGTCATTCTGTAAAGCGCTCTACGCAAATTACAGGTGACAGAGGTCTTCTGGGCAGGCAGTATAACTGAGAGTGCACCATAAGGGGGCCAGAGCTCTCCCTGGGGGTCCCCGGCACCCAGAGGCCATACGGGGAGTCCACCGCCCTCTGGTGTGTGTGACTTAGAGCTTTGGGGGCCTGTGCTGAGTTCTTCCTCCCCTCCCAGGAGCATCCTGGTGGTGCAGACACTGCGGACCAGCGCCCTGACCACAGCCTGCGCCGACCACTCAGACCAGCACGTGGGCTACCTGGAGCACGTGGTGGCCCGTGTCTCCATCTCCCACCCGCGCCGCGGAGACCTCCAGATACACCTGATTTCTCCCTCGGGAACCAAGTCTCAGCTTTTGGCTAAGAGGTACGGCCAGGCCAGGCTGGCCTGGTGGGGCTGGGGCAGGTGGTAGGCCGGCGGGGCCACAGTGGCCTGCAAGGACCCACATGGGCTTTGGGACACGGCAGCTCGCCCCCAGCTTATTCACTCCCAGCTGGGCACCCAGGAGCCGGCCACTTCTCTCTTTATTCTTCACCTCCGGAAATGTCATTTTACTCCTCTGTCACATTCCGGAGAGCTACCAGAACGGAATGTGATAATAGAGATGACAATGCTTGGCACGATCCCTGGCACAGGAGGCTGGCTGCCCTTCCTGTCCTTATATCCATCTACCTGACCTGTGAGAACCTTCCAACACCTGCCCACCCCCCACTGCTCTCCTTCTCCCAACTTCAGTCCTTCTGCTCAGGCCCACGTTTGAGCCCCTGGGGATGGTAGAAAGCAGGTCCTCCAGGCTCACTGGTTCCTCATCACCTGGTTGCTAGGTAGTGCTGTACCTGGGCCATCCAGCACTTTAAACCCGCCCTGAGGCCACTTGGCTGTCATCTGAGTCTTGGGAACTTGCATTTTTCCCCCCAAGGCACAGATTGTGTGATTATAAGATCTATTACCTTCTACTGGATTTCACCTCTTGCTTAATTCCACAGTTTTTTCAGCTTGCCAGATTTTTTTTTTTTTCCACTAAGAGAAGTTGACACTTGTAAGCACTTCAGCCTTAAAAGACAGTTTGTCCTTGTTCTGTCTGGAGTGCGTTGGATTCAGTTTGGCATTGTGTGTGAAAATCAGCCTTGATCTTTGCCGTTTCTTAGAAGAAAGTGCGGAGTGCCCCCCTACCCCCACTATTCTCTAGGCAGAGAAGGTTCCCTTGATAAGCGTTTTTATACATTGGATGTTCAGAGAACCCCCAAATTGGGAATCGAATCTTACATTATATAAAACATTCATCTCTGAATTGCCAATGAACAATAAAGAGCCCGTACGTTAAAAAATAATAATAATAGAGAAAATAAGACTGAGAAGGATGAGTAAGTGAGAAGGACCTGGAATTGTTTTTTTCTAAGGAGGGAAGACTGAGGGGGGCACGGGGTGTTGGAAGAAAGAGGGTACCCATGCGATGTTTCCTGTTCCTGCTCAAACCCACACAAGACAAAATGGACAGGCGCTCAAGTCTCAGCCAAGAAGGACCTTGCGGTCTGGGAGGATCAAGGGAGACTCATCGGAGCCTGCAGGGGAGCCGGTGGGGGGAAGAGGTTGCTCCTGCTTCTCCCACAGTGCCCAGGGGTGCCCCCCGCCACACAGGGGGACATCCAGGCCTCTTATGTCACCTCCCGCAACGAAACTGTTGAAACCCGTCAAGCCCTAGAGGCGAAGAGACAGCATTTTCCCCACGAGTTTGAGTGGTTGTTCATTTTTCCTTCTTGTATCTTCTGGAGAACAGCCCACAAGGGCTGGCTCTGACAGATAGGAAAGTTTCATTCATTCCACAAACCAGCATTTTAGAAAGGCTCCTTTTTTCATGCCCTTGGGGCTTAAGTGAAAGTCACGTGGCCCTGCCTGTGTCTGCTTTTGCGCATCAGGCACTGGGGTCACGGGCTCTGGAGGACCACGCACCTGGGGTGGGCAGGGACCAAACACCTTCTCAAGGAACATAGAGGATTGAGGACGTTCGTTGGTGACCTGCTGGTGATTCAAAGAGCAGGGGCTGGACTCCGAATGCTCTCGAGCGAGTTTGTAGCAAATCACTACACCTGGGATCTGTCCTCCATAAAATAGGGTGGGAGGGAGGACACCACCATTGACACAGTCCCTGTCACCTGTGAGGCCTGACTGCCTCTCAGGGTTTGGGAGACCCCGTGAGATAATGGAAGGGAAACTGCTGTAAGGCTGCGTGGTCAACAAGTATGGAAACCGTCAGCATCTTCCCTGCACCTTCGTATCCTCTGAGGGCCAGGCCTCTCTCTCTCCTGTCCTCACACCTGCCGCCCTTCCTCTGGGTTGTGCGGTCACCTACAGAGACAGCCCTCCTTGGACTGGCCCCCCTACCCCACCCCCCACCCCTTTCAGGCCCCTCGTGTTCTGACCCCCAGTCTCCAATTGCAGATTGCTGGACCATTCCAACGAAGGGTTTTCAAACTGGGAGTTCATGACGGTGCATTGCTGGGGAGAAAAGGCTGAGGGCCAGTGGACCTTGGAAATCCAAGACATGCCGTCGCAGGTCCGCAACCCAGAGAAACAAGGTCAGTGGCCCTGAGAATTGCATGACTCTGGCATTTCAGCCCTTTTGTGAACTCCAGAACTTTTAACTGTAGTGTCTCTGGTGATTCTTTTTTTTTTTGAGGTAGAACTCATATACTACAAAATTCCCCGTTCTCATCATTGGGAAGTGTGTCATTAAATGGCTTTGGTACAGTCACAATGTAGTGCGACCACATCCACCACAGAATTCCAGAACTTTCCATCACTCCACAGAGATATCTGTACCCATTAGCTGTCACTGCCGTCCTCCAGCCCCTCCCAGCCCCTGGCAACCCCTAATCTACTTCCTGTGTCTATGGATTTGCCTCTTCTGGACATTTCATATGAATGGAATCAATACAATATGTGGTCTTCTGTGTCTGGCTTCTTTCACGTAGCGTACTGTTTTCAAGGTTCATCCATATTGTGGCGTGCAGCCACGCTTTGTTCCTTTTTATGACTAAATGCTGTTCCATTGTATCACTGTATGACCTTTGTTTGTCCTTTCGTCGGCTAATGGACAGCTGGGTTGTTTCGGCTTAATGGCTGTTATGATGATGTTGCTTTGAACATCCCTGTACAGCTGTTTATGTGGACATGTGTTTTCAGTTCTCTTAGGCGTCTACCTACTACGAGTGAAATTGCTGTGTTGTGTGGTAATTCTGTGTTTCACTTTTGAGGAACCGTCAAACTGTTTTCCACAGCAGTTGCACCGTTTTGCATTCCCACCAGGGACATATGAGGGTTTTAATTTCTCTGCATCCTCACTAACCCTTGTTTTGTTATTTTCATTTTTGTTGTTGTTGTTATTACAGCCATCGCAGTGGGTGTGAGGTGGGAGCTCATTGTGGTTTTGATTTGCATTTCCTGATGACTAATGATGCTTAGCATCTTTTCATGGGCTTCTTGGCCATAAATCTTTTTCAGAGAAATGTCTATTCAACTCTTTTGCCCATTTTAAAATTGGATGGTTTGTCTTTTATTACTGAGTTGTGAGAGTTCTTTAAATATTATAGATACTAGATCCTTATCAGAAAAAGTGGTTTGCAAATTTTTTTCTCCCATTCTGGGGGCTGCGATACAAGGGGTACTCTCTGAGTGAGGGTGGCCCTGAATTAAGTCCTGAACAGGCCAGTGTCCATCCTTGGACATGGTTGGAATCTGGGTCTTTGGCTGGTTGAAACAGGAATGGAATAAACGTCTTCTGGTACTTTTTAGCTCTGACCTCCTGTGGCTTGTTGGAATTTGGGGGATCAGGAGGTGTCCCCAGGTCTGCACAGCCCTGCAGTGGTTTCTGGGGGGGGGGTTATTTGAGCATGCTTTACCCCATACAGAGCCCCCACTCCTGAGGTGGTCTTCGCAGAAACAAGTGTAGGCAAGGGACCTGCCTGACTCAAACATTCTGGGACCCAGGAGAAATGTGGGCCTGTCAGTGCTATTGGTGCTGAGGGTGTGATGGACTCCACTGGGCATGTCTTTCCTTCCCTGGTTGTCTGGTCCGGTGGCCTCTAGGTGCCAGGTCACCACTGGCCTCAGTGCCAGGAATAATGCAGCAAAGACACAACACTGAGAAAGGGCGGCATCGTTCTCGTTTCTCTGAGGGGATTCTGGGAAACTGTCTCGGGCATGATGCTGCCTTTTTGTGTGCATTTCCGTCTCCCCCAAACCTCTGCCACTTCATTGCTTTAAAAACAGAAAAAGCCAGCTCAGTCCAAATGGGTGTGCTGAGTAAAATACCTCACAATCTCAGATAAGACCAGGGCTTTACTAAGTCATTAAGGCACGGAATGGTAGGCTAGATCCAATAATACTCACCTGTCAGATCAAACTTGCTCTATGTAATTAGTTTTAAACGTTTTTTTTTGTTTGTTTGTTTGTTTCTTAATACTGAATAGCCGTTAGTCATCCATTTTCCTCTTCGGTTCTGGGGCCAAGGGCAGGTACCTTCTCTCAGGATCACTCTCTTCCAAGAGATAAGCTAGGACTGGAACTGAGTGCAGATCCTGCTACACGACACGTTGCATTTACAAGCAGCTTTTGACCGGTGCATATTGGCAGTCATATAGGTAGAGGGCTGTCTTTTGGGGGGTGTGAGTATACTTTAAGGGGGATCCATTCCATCTATGACCAAGGCTCAGACCTTACAATGGCTCCGCCCCTTCCTCCCCCGCAAGCCAGCCCATCTCTGAGCAGAGCCTTGGTCCCTCCCCCAGGACTGCAAGTCAGCATCATGCTCTTATTTCATTGGTTTCTTTCTTTCCAAGGCCCACTCAGAGGAGTGAAGGTCTAATGGCAATTGGTCTAAACGCTTATTTAATAGCTCAAACTCTTTTCCTGACTAAATGTCACTAATCAGTAAGCAGTTATCTGAATTCTCAATAAGCTAAATAGTCCTTTTTCCAACGGGAAAATTAGAAAACAATATTTGGGATTAGGAAAACTTCAACGCACAGGCGGACATCTATTTTAAACCTCTCTAACTTGCCAACCCCCATACTTCGATGATCACAAACCAAGCTTTACACTGTGTTGTAGCTTTAATATTGGGTTGTCGGGAAAGTCATGACGTATTTTTCTGTGTTTTTCATTGCAAAAATGTGTCATGACTTTTCTGACAACCCAATATATAAAGAGTACTTTCAAATCGCTAAGAAATAGGAAAAGCACCCCATTAGAAAAATCGGCAAAGAGCCTGAAAAGACAACGCATAAAGGAAAAATACTCATAAGCAGTAAACAAAAGCATTCAATCTTTGTAGTGATCAAAGATAATAGAAATTAAAACACAAAAACGTAAATATGATAGCCAGCCAAGAAGTTCCAGGGGTCACAAAACAAATACCGCTGTGATTTGAAGAAGAGCGTGAACGGTAAGGTGGAAAGGCCTGGGTCCCAGTGCTGTCTCCACCCATCACTGGCTGGGAGGCCCTGTGAGTAATAGAAATCCCCTCTTGGGTGTGTTGTGAGCACCTGATGGGAGTGAATACTTCTGGCACAACCTGACATACAGTAGCTTGTCATGGAAACCCCGGGTCCCTCTCCCCCCTCTCCTCACCCATCCACTGCAAATGTAGGTTATAACCACAGTCTTTTGGAATTGGTCCATTTGCCCCCTGGGAAAGTTCCAGCACAGAGGTAACTGGTAGGGGCCTGCCTCCACGCCTGTGAGGAAGATTAAACTGGCTGTGACTCGCAGAAGCCAGGAATTTGGGAACAGCAGAATCCAGGGTTGTTGAGCTGAGGGCAAGCTGGCGTGCCAGCCAGGCAATGGACTGAAATGGAAAGCTTCCAACTCTTGAATCCAGCAGGGACATTTCTAGTCTTCCTTCTCCTTAAGCAACATCTTCTTCCAAGAAAATAAGAAACAAAAACATGCTAACCAACGGCGTGGTTTCGGGCCTGCTCTAAAGAGGAGAAGACGCTGAGACGCATTGGCTTTACAGTGGCTTTCGTGGGCACGCGGGTGCGTTCCTGGGGTCACAGCCCTTCATGTTCCCACACGTCTTGGCTTTCTTTGGAGCTCAGCCCAGTACAGCCAACCCCACCTGCTCACTTCCGTGGGATCCCGTCTTTGAGTCTCCCTTCCCCACAAACTGGAAAGTTGATGCCGGGGCCAGGTCACAGAGGTCCAGACAGAGTTGAGTGCGTTTGCCAAAACTTGTGGGTAAACTCTAGGGGCACCGATAAGGTATGAAGGTCAAACTTGACTGAGAAGGGGAAGTATTTGTGGGGAGGTGGGCGGCGAGAGGGAGACCCAGTGCCAGCATACACTGCAGTCGGGACATAAGATTAGGGACTCGGGGCCCTGTGTTGGGTGAGCCCAGAGGACGTGTGACCTGAGTTCCAGCGGGGCCACTTGCTGGCCTGGTCCCGGAACCGCTCTCAGCCTCCATTTCTGCACATGTGTGATGATAACAATGGTACCTACTTCACAGGCCTGGGTGACGTTCAAACCTAGGGAGGTTTTATGTGAACAAATCCTGCCTGAGGATTTTTTAAAGGTTTTCAAGGTTGGTCAGTGTTTGACCATAGTCCAAAGTGCCAATCACTATTTCCTGATGTTAAGTTTCCTGGGATCCCATCACATGTGTCACTTACATACCAAATGCTGCATTTCTGCCTTAAGCTATTAAATAGTGTCTCACAAAAGTGCTACACTCACTTGAATGGAAAACTAAAAAAAAACCTCAGGGAAGTATATTCTTTTCAAATATTACGCACCATAGTTTGTACCTTCTATCTCCAAGCACATGTATCAATGACGTTTTACTCCATAAATGTCTCACCGGAATGGTATGTGCCTCCCCAGATTGGTTCCACTGCCCAGCGGACAGGTCTGACCCCCTGCGTCCCCCGAGGTGAGGGCTGGGTGAGGGTGTGGCGACGTGTTTCCCACACAGGTAGAGCTGCAGTGGCCCTGGCGAGTGAGTCAAACCCCATCAAACCCAGCAGAGCTCAGAGAGCCTGTGGCTTTTCTCTCCATCGGGGGATGCAAAGCCTCCCCAGCATCTAGCCACTCGGAGGGGACAGGTGACAAAACGTGTACATGCACAGGAGGTTGGCCAAGTGATAGACAGGAGATAAAGCTCATGTTCCCCCAGACAGACTGTCCCCACAGGCCTATTTGGGAGACATCCCCTGGCCAAGCGCCCTGCTGTTTCGTTGTGAAGCTTCGACAAGCCTGATATTTGTTGCCCCGCCCCAATTTGCTTCTTTCCCACCCCTCACTCTGTGGGCACCTCCCAGTGAAGCCTCAGCGTGGGCTTCACCTCAGATCCTTCTCTCCCCAGAACCTGGGTGAAAGCACGCGTTCAGGTGGCAGCTTGAGCCTGGGCTCCAATAATCTCTGCAGAGGGCAGATATCGAGGCTCATATCAGAACTGGTCCGGGGTCATCCTGCTGTCGGCAGGCAGCGCTTGCCTTAGGAAGCTCAGCACTAGGTCTCCCGCCTCTTTGCAGTCCCAGCGCGGGAAGGAGTGTCGTATGCAGGATGACTGAACAAG